TGTTTGACATTCATATACAGTATCCCCAAAACAATTGGTGATGTCTTCTTGTATGCCTTCATTTGATTTATAGGCAGGTTTCCAAAATATTTAAATTACTTATTCTGGGGAACTATTTTTTGCTACTGTGTGATTTTTGCCTAGTGAAATGATTCCCATAGCTTATAAAACACAGAGAAACCACAGTTCCTGGCTTAAGGAACAGATTTTACCTTAGCTTGGTGCAGTGCTGTTGTAGATTACCAGAAATATTTGTGGAGAGTATATCACTGCTATATGCCACCCAAACTGCTGCATATTATCCATATATTGGGAAGTGATGTGTGTATTATTGATGTTAAGTAATAGTATGTGATCAATTATTTCCATGTAGGAATTTTGGGCTCTGCAAGATGTGGCTAAACACAAGCTTTTTTCCAGCTGGGTTGTGTTGTACCTCTTGAGGTTAAAAAGGTAAAGAAATGCAATTCTGGACACTTACAGGTGGAGGGAATTTCAAATTTCACTGGACCCCCCCTTCCCCCTTCCAGATACCTTATCAGGATCAGAACAGTTGTGCCGCTAACTCAGCACTCATCTTTCTATAATGGCTAGATATTAGCATTGAAGAAAAAATAATCCTAAAATGTGTTTCTCCTCTGTGAAAAAAATGCAGTTTTGATTTATTTTAAGTGAATGTGTAAAACTGAAAAATATATGCATCAGATATCTTTATATCAGATGATCATACTCATTATTGACGGGTTGGTCCTTTGATTTCTCCCAACCCTGGTAAAAACACACACAAATTCTAACCCAATTAATGCAAGCAGAAGAAATTCAATTAAGCAAACTTAGTAGTAATTATGAGAATGTTGAAGAGCTAGGATGGGAGGTGGGGAAGTGCAAAGAAATAATACCAGTGGGGCCAATCTTCCCCTTGTCCCACTCTGTTCTTGAAGTTCTTGGATGGACTTGAAATAACTCCTGTCTGAAATCATGGTAGTTTTGTAGCATTGTCAGTGCTAGACTGACCAATGGCCTAACTGTCTATAAGGCAACTTAGGGTTTTGCTGATAATACCCTTTGGTCTATCCATACCAGTCATCAAATCCATGTAAAAGGATCTGTAAGAAAAGCATCCCTCATGATTCTCCCCTCCCCAACCGCCCAGATTTACAAATTTGAGCATTTTCCTTCCCAACAATTGATACATATTTTTGGAGTTGCCTTTCAGTGGGCAGTGCATGTTCAAGTCTGTGCATTGTGTATTAAGTGTTTTATGTATTACTTTGAGACTTCTGTATGAAATTGACTGAATATTTAAACCAGTAGATTCCATAGGCATATTCAGTGCTTTTTTTCTGGGGGTACACAGGGGTACCCATACCCCTAAACATTTTGTGAATCTTTGTACTTTTGTCCATTTACTGTATTTTTTCCGATTTGAACTATAAAATGAGAGTACCCCTAAATATTTTTAAAGAAAAAAAGCATTGGGCATATTCCGTGATCATCAGTTTCTGGTCATGAAGAATATAAACTGTTGTGAAACCTGCATAGTTCATTTTTCCCATACTTTATTAATGATGCATTTTTGTGAATAACTTTATTAATGTTGTCTTGGAAAAATAGCAAGTAGTGTATCAGTTAAATGCAGAATTGTAGACATGGGACGGAGGCTGTGGTTCAGATGTAACAATCTTAATAAACCATGATTTATTAAGATCAGAGCCTTATCAAGTATCCTAGTTAATATGTCAAGCTTTAGCCACGGTTTTCCAGTTCAGGTGTAATGCCGAATGTGATTGAAACAAACAATAATGGAAGCACTAAGGCTGCTGAACAAGGGGAAAGACAAAGGAGAAGTGCATGGGCCTGATGCTTATTCTCAGTTTAATAAACCATGGTTTATCCACCTGAGATCAATATGTTTGAACCAGCCCAGAGCAAGAGGCACAAACTAATCTTCATTACCCTGTTTTGTGTGTACAATATAGGAATCCAGGTGATTCTGATTCCAAGCGAAGCAAAAGAATGACGAGTGAGTGAGTCAATAATTTATTTTCTTCTCAACAATTAAGTCACATGCCCTTCCTGTAGGCCAGATATTTCTTTCAATAGTTGTTTAACTGATGTGACATTACATTGGGTTTCCAAGCAGCTTAGACTCTTGTGATTTCCATTCCCTGAGGGCAAACATGCCCCCCCACCATTCCTGAGTTCCCACCCACTTTACACCCATGTAGAATATGCCATGTGTGCAGTAAATATCAGGCTGGGACTTAGTGTGCTAACATATCACATATACCATATACTTGTTTCCCTAGAGCTAACTCTGCTGGGGTGGGACTTGAAAACCAGTAGCCCCTTCCTCTAGGCTCTCTTGAGACAGAAATAATTGCCAGTTTGGGGAAAGTGAGCGATTTTACAAGAAACCTGCCTCTGTGGCACACCAGTGTAGATCTGGCGTGAGGCAGCATTTGCCTTCCAGATTTTGTTGGACTACAACTCCCATGAGCCCCAGCAAGCACGGCTAATGGTCAGGATGATGACCAGCAACACATGGCAGTCCAAAGACTCCCCACACAATCTTCATCCTGCTGTGTTCACAACCATACTACCACCAGTTTGGTTTTCTGGGCTTAGTGATTTGGTTATAAAAACTAATCTAGCAAGAGCTTTGGCTGGCATCTTAGAGAGCACTGCTGGATGAGGTACACTGGACTGGATGGATCACTCAGTACATGACTCCTTATAACTTTGTCACTCGAGCTCCTAAGCCTGAATAACTCCAGATTTTCTGCACTAATTATTTCCCATGGGCTAAGGTGGTAAACATAAGGGTTGGTTGATTTATTTATTTATTTGAGCAGCACTCTGAAGCATTTGGGAAAATAGCTTTGAAAAGGAAAGCCTCATATAGCTATCATTATGCTACAGCTATATGTGCCTCTTAATGCTGCTTACCATATCAGATATAAAAAGAAACAGATTTGCCTTTCATCTCCAAAATTCATTCATCTGCCCTGCTGGCCCTGAAGAATAACAGGACTTAAAACACAGATAGTTGAACAAGCACCATCAGGTATATAATAATGTTGTATATTAATGACATTAATCTGCCAGGATTGCAGGCTTGTATTGGTTTTTCATTCCATATCAGCTTCAGGATACCTCTAGGATCCTGGAATACCTCCAAGATCAGAGGCATTCATCATATCACAGGGAACAATTGCAACAGAGGGCGGTTGCTCCCATGACTGGCTTCTGGGCTTTGCGTAGGCATCTGTCCCAATATTACCAGACACGCACTTGATAACTGAAGTCTCGGTCTGTTTACAAGAATCTCCACTGATCCCACAATTCAGTGTAAACCTCTTCGTAGATGAGCATTTATTGTTCTGGTGGATAGATTTGGTGGTTTCATTTTCAAATGCTGTCTGACTTCTAAACCTAACCAGTTTGAGACAAGTTGGAGAAAAAAAAATAAGGCTGTTTCAGAGCCCCTCACCCCATCCAGGAGCTGTAACAAATCTTTGGTTGTGATTATGTTCCTCCGAAACATTTGTTACATACACCGTGAACATTCTCGAGTGCCTTACTTGTTAAGTTTTAATTTAAAGGGATTTGAAAGTGGCCACCTTTGAACTTCTCTTTCTTTGACAAGTTTCTAGTGGTGGGAAAACAAAAGGTGCATTCTTTTGCTTAAGTTAAGAATGGGAAATCAGTGCTACTTTTGAAAAGTAAAGTTATATAAAAATTGTATAACCTAGAAATAAAGATTGAGGATGAAAGAAGCCTATCATAAATTGTCCCCTTTTAAATATTTCAGATTCAGGAAAACTTGGGAACACTCTTTTCTTGAACTAGTGCAGCTGTAAGTTGTTGTGTTGTGATAATACAGGCAATTTCACACTTAATTCTAGGCACTCTGAGAGTAGCAGGGTGGTGAAGGATTTGTAAGCATGAATTTTTCTTCCTGTTTTAATGTCCATTTCTTTCAGATCCTTAATTACTTCCTCATATCGGTCTTAAGAAAAGATGTGGATGTCAGTATAATAAATCTCAAGAGAAAAGCCCCTGCTGATTTTTTATATGTGCAAATAGATTCTTATTTTTGGCTACAGGTATAAATCCTAGGTACGTGCTCAGAAACTGGATGGCCGAGTCAGCTGCGCAAAAGGCAGAAAGGAATGACTTTTCTGAGGTATCTTGCTAACTTGCTTTGACTTTTTATGCTCAAGAGACTAAAGATACAGTCATCAAGGAATAGAAGCATAAACTCTACAAACCGTTGAGTGAAAAAAACCGCTTAATTGTAACCTGTGTAGAAGAGTGTATATAATCATGGAATTGCACAGTTGGGATACCAGGGTTTGTTTTGTAGTTTTGTCTGTGTATAATGCTTTTTAAAAATAATAATAATATTGTTTTACTTTCAGGTCCACCTCTTGCAGCAGGTTTTGCAGCTCCCCTTTCAGAGGCAGGCAATGGCTGAGAGAGCTGGTTATGCACAACGCCCCCCTGCTTGGGCTAAAGACATTAAAGTCAGTTGTTCATCTTGATGAAAAGAAACTGAGATCAAGATTAAATGAAGGGGTATAGCCTTCAAGTAACACCAAACGACAATAAAAGGACACATTTAGAATTTTAATCAATCATGCACTCTGCTCCTATTCCTGTTGTGTCATTCAGTGGCTCAATTCTCCTCTTCCTCTTGCAAGATCATCCTGTTTTGGCTATACCCCTGTTATGGCCGATTACTGAACAATGTTGCCCAACCACTTCTATGTAAAATTAGCTGCCTTCTGCATTTCCTGGTCAGAAGATCAGTGGCTCCTGCAATTCCTGCAGTCTCCATTTCTCACACTTGAACTCAAGGATTTAATTTGGTCTGCATTTTAAATGAATTGATCTGATACACCCTTCCCAGGCTAATAAATGGATTAGAACAGTCCCCCCCCCAATGTGCTGCCAAATCTGTACTACAGTTCTCAGCTCAAAAAAATAGTACGAAACTGTGTAAAAAAATGTGTATTCTGGGTAAAAAGCATACGAACATGTCAATTTTCATGCAGTTAAAATCAATAGATTGATACAGAAACAAGGTGGAACATAATTCTGAATCATTTCATGCAGAACTGACAGACAGGAAGCAGGCAAATCCATCCATTCTTATCTGGAATTATTGGAAGCAGAGTTAAGCACTTGCTCCTCTTCCCTCCTGCTTGCCATTTTAATTTCCTCGTAACCAACTCTCTTTCCTCTTGCTGTGCCACAATCATAGGAATTGTTTGTGACTGTCCGTGATTCAGCTTTGTACAAGAGGCACCACCCCAAATTCTGTAGTCTCCAAGGCAGCAGAGTCTGCCTCTTGAGGGTCCCATAAATAACCTTGGCACATGATAAATGGATCTAGAAACCAGGATTCTAATTTTGTTAGAACAACAAAATCTCAACCCATCTGAGAAACACACAGAGTTAAGTTGACAAAGCATAGGGCAGTATGGGCAAATAGTTGAACTGCAGCAAGCACCACTTTCCTCATTTCAAGGACAGCTTTTGATCTAAGTACCATTTATAGCCAAGGTTCTTCCTAGTGTCTCTGCAACTGCATTGAAATATTTGGTTTGCAAGCTAGTTCTGCTGGTAAGCCATTTGAGGATTGGCCGCTGACAACTCTCCAAGGGTAGGATTTAGTCTCCATGCTGTCCGTTTCTGTTTCCCAATTTTAGGCTTAACTGTTGTGCTCCTGAACTGAATGTTTAGAGAAGGAAAGCACTTGCCATTCCAAAGAATGTTTTGCGTATGCGTGTGCTACATGCGTCAAAATGAACTGTGTTGCTTGTTCATTAACTTTGACACTTTTATGAGGCATTAAAGAGGATTTTATTCAGGAGCTGGCAGTCAAAACAAGCTCTGTCAAAATGAACACTTGGAAGATTAAGGTGAATCATAAATGATGAAAGAGGCGTAAGAAGTCATAAATGCCTTAACGTATTCCGATCATCATAAAGTCTTTAGGAGACAAATATTTTTAGCCATCACTTAAAAGACAATTGCTAACTTGGTTGCTGTGGGAAGAAGAACTGAAACTTGCGTATCGTTGGCCTTGCGTTATATTGGATAAATAACCAGAGACATAGCCTGCAGATACGACAGCTGAAAGCAGCATTTTAGTTGGGATTTCTCACTTCAAAACAATTGAGGAAACAGGTGTGGCACATTATAGTCAGGACAACCTGTGAATAATAAAGCCTCAAGTGGAAGTGTTCACTGTTACCCCAAATGGTTGGTTCTCGCTGTATCTAATAGTACTAGCTCTTTAAAAAGTATGGGGTTGGTGGGTGGAATTGTTGAGACAGCTGTCACTGCAACTGTTGTAGTGCTGTTTTCAGTCTCCTTATTTTTGCAAATCAGGTCATGCCTGCCCATACATTTGCCATACATTTACAGGGTAAGAACAGATTGTGCAATCTACATGAACACATGCCCAGGGAAAATCCAATTAAATAGCCTATTAAACCTTCAATTGATTAATATTAGTCAGCCTTTAATTTGCTATAAGGTTCTTTCCTCTTTTTTGCTAGATCCAAATCTCCTTGGGAATCTGCCTCTCCCTTGGGACACTTCCCATGCTTCTAGTTGTGCTCTTCAGCCTCAAACCAGGAACATGGGAAGCCACCATTTCGGAACAAGTTGTAGGGGGGAAATGCATTGCTTCGGGATATGTTGGGATGCCTTTCTCTAGCACATATTCCTTTGGACCACCAGGAAGAGCTGTAGACAATTTATCTGGGCCACCCTCTCCCTGATCCAACTAAAACCGCACACTAATCTTCATTTAAACTGCTTGTTTCATGATGTCTCACCCCTCTTCTTTTGCAGTGCTTTCATTAAATCAGACATTAAGTCTCCTCCTTGTTCACCTGCATCTCCCCTTGGAGGAAGCCCACTTTGCCTAGGCCCTCCTGCCTGCCCAGTACTTTGTTCCTGTCTTTTAGGAGGCGGTGGAGGTTTCTTTCTGATAGGCGGAGGCATCGTGGGGGCAGAGACTGCAGGAGGTGGCGGCGGCAGTTCTGGAGTGCCAGCGCCCACAGCAAAGGCTGGTGGTGGGGCTGGAATGAAATCAGGAGGATCTTCATAGTATTCAGGCGGTGGCGGCGGCAAGTCCTCCAGCCCAGTGGGAAGCAGTATTGATTCAGGGGGTGGTGGAAATTCATCTGGATCTGATGTGGCAATTGTGTTTCTTCTCTCCATATTTTGGGGCAGGTTCAACGAACCAGTAAAAGCAGAAGATCGTCTTTGAGGAGGGGGTGGTGGGTGTAGCCCACCAGGCTTACGGAGGTGTTTCGGTTGTGGCATGGGAGATGGTGGCGCTCGCCTGGTGTCAGTGGTGCTGTGTGGTTTCGTAACCTTTTAAAACAAAGGAAGCAATTTTCAAAATGAGAGGTGAATAGTAAAAGAAAGACCGCAGGTCCAGCAGGAATTATGTCTTCCTTGGTATCAAGGCAGCAGGGAGAACATATAACACTGGGATTTCCATTTGTGTCCATTTAGCAGTAAAAATAGATGCCTTCCAAAACTACAAGGATTGGTTTTTGCAAAACCAGACAATCTGAAAGACTCCCTCCTGTCTATGGACATTTAAGTTTACTTACAATCTCAGTGCCTCAAATTATGTTACCATTTCCTGATACCCATTTGATGTAGGGAGATTTAGCGTAGGTACTATCTGTTGTGAATGTGAAGCTACAAGGAGTCTAAACAGAAGGACAACCCCCTGGCAGCCTGATAGAAAATCCAGTCTTTCCTCAAGTGTTCCAGAACTAGGAATCAGTTGCCAATTTTCATTTCAATGGTATAAACATTTGAAGCGGAACAGAAGCTAAGCAGATTGGCAGCTGAATCTTACCTGAACATTTACAGTGTCCACAACGGGAGCAGCGGCTGTGTGACACAGACAAGCCTGCCTTTCAACATTTTGCCACGAATCATCACCACCACCTGAGGCAGCTGGGCCACTCTGCCAAATGGTAGGGCTGGCCCTGCATTCTGGCCCTGCATTGACCTGGCATTGCACACAGCTATATTTCCTTGGCTTGCAAACACAGTGCAGTGCTCACATAGTGCGAATACAGCTACTTTAGCCCTTACAACAGATATATTGCTTTGCTGAATTAAGCTCAGTGCTTACTGCATTATCTTTAGCTTTTGGGAAACCATTGGGAAATAGGAGCACTAAAAAGGCCTGTACACAGAGTAGTTAATATCTACTGTATCTCCTCCGGAGGCTGGTGACTGGAGCTTAACCTTGAATGCATTTTGCTAAGAACTGGGAGCAAACTGGCTTCTATACATTTTCCTGCCCTTTTGTACCAATCACAGCCACTTTCCCTCCACATTCTCTTATAATGAAAGATGACTGGAATGTCTTAACCTCTAGCTGCACAGTGTACACAAACTGAACAGAAAGATAAAATGTTTGATCTTTTCCAAAGCATGTGTCACACAAGTTAAATGAAAGTGTCGTCTAGGCTAGCAGTTCGTTAGGTAAATGTTTGCCCTGGCAGAATATTAGGTGAGCTTGCCTTCACCATGTGGCTGCTAGACTATGTTCTTAAGATGAATAGAATCCCGTTGGCAGTGTAAGGAATGTGCTCTCCTTTTGCAGGTGGCAGCTGGTAGCTGTTAAGAGAGTTGTGTCTGCATGGTAACCTTTAACTGAGTTCTAAGCACTTCCTGCTTCTAGTCATCTATAGAACGGTTTCTAGGTAGATCAAAAAACCCCTCAAGTCTCTCTTACATTGAGCATATGCACACAAAATGGATAAGTGGAATGAATTGTCTTGGTTCAGTAAGTAACCAAGGCAGGCTATTTAAGGAACAAAACTATTTAAAGGGTAAAGGGACTCCTGACCATTAAGTCCAGTCGTGAATGACTCTGGGGTTGCTGCGCTCATCTCGCTTTACTGGCCTAGGGAGCCGGCGTTTTGTCCGCAGACAGCTTCCGGGTCATGTGGCCAGCATGACTAAGCCGCTTCTGGCGAACCAGAGCAGCGCACGGAAATGGGAGCTCACACTGTTGCGGGGATTTGAACCGCCGACCTTCTGATCAGCAAGCCCTAGGCTCTGTGGTTTAGACCACAGCGCCACCAAAGGTGCCCCAAAGTTTAGATTTTATGCACCACCAGTTCCTAATTCATTTACAGGTACTTTGGCACAAGTGCTACAAGCCAAATGGAGAGCAAGGGTTCCTAAACTGGGCTCTGTGGACCACCAGTCCTCCATGAGCTTCATTTAGATGGTCTAAAGTAGATGAGGTTGAAGATGGGAAATGACATTTCCATAGCACTAAATATTCATATTGATTTTTAATAGTATTCCTATTGCTTTTTATTTCCTACATGCCATTTTATTTATTTATTTGATTTCAAGATTGACAAAAGAAGTAAAGTACTTTTCGTGCGTTACAAGGGCTGTGGGTGGCTGCAGCCAATGTGTATAGACTTCTAGTCAAGCTGCAAGAATGCATGGACCTCTAGGCTTCCTGCCTACAGATGTATTTATGTTAATGCTGAATTTATGATGATACGTTCAATTAAATTTGTACCTTTGGCATCTCAGCAGGCTTCTCAGGTTCTGAAGAATTTGCAGCAGCGAGGGTCGTGCTTTGGGGGACCTGTCCATTAGCATGAGTACTACCTAGGATGCACGGTTAAAAAGAAAGAAAGAACAGGCTTGCAAAACCAAATTCGAGTGATTAAAGGCAAAAATCATTCTTATTTTGAATCATGATTGAAATAATACACTAAGCTCCATAGGATACTAAAGCACCCTGTGAATAGTTTTGTATGTTGTTGATGCTTCTCTAAGGAGCTGCAGACGTGCCCTACTCCTGACAAACTAAGTAAGGGAACAAAGCCAAGAAGAAATCTCTGTGGCTTGAACTGTACTGTTCTGCAGAGGATTATGTGAACTTGTTCAGTTGGCCAGAAGTGTCATATCTTACTCTGCAGTTTAGGATATGCAGCAGCTTCTCTCCCCCCCCCCCCCCGAACTTCTAGTTTCCCTTTTTAGAAAATGTTGAGCTGGCAAAACAAGAATATGTTTCAATGAGAATTCTTCAACCTTGGGAGCCCAGCTGTTGTTGAACTCTCTGACACTTATCATCCCCAGCCAGCTTAGCCAATTGTCAGGGATCCTGGGAGTTTTAGTGCAACAACTTCTGAAGACCCAAAGTTGAAGAGGCCAGGTTAAGCTATAACTAAAATACAATCCAGAAGAACTTTGGTACACTTTGGGAACTATAGTACACCTGTGTCCAAATGTTAAGAACATGGGAAGCTGCTTTATACAGAGTCAGACCTACTGCTCCATCTAGCTCAGTATTGTCTACACTGAAGGCTCATCTACTTTTTCGCTTTTCCAGTGATTTCAAGGCATGAGCCCAAGAAGTTTTTCTCTTGTCCCACCCTTTCCCGCAGGAAAACCCACTGCTTACCGCTGAATCAGAGCAAACACCAATCTGCAGAAAACCCAACATGCAGGATGCTCTTCCATAACTTATGTACGCACACACACAATTTAACATTTACCATATATCATATACCTTTTGAAGATGATATTGCAGCAGTGGAGGATTGAACATTCCCTAGCTTGGTCAGTCGAGAAGCTAAGCCAGCCTTCTGCACTGCGCGGGTGTAGTTATCATACAACGTCTTTCCATACTGAGAAAATAAGCACATTCTTTAGCCTATATACAGAATATTACCACCAATGCCCCTTCAAAAGAATAAAAGCACACTTTCCTGCTTCCTGATGTTTTGACTAATACAACCAACCCTCCACAGAGATACTCTCCAGTGAATGGTACTAGGTCTGCCTACAGCATAAAACTACTGTCAGTACTATAAAACTACAGGCGCAAGGATTTTAAACACATCAGAGCAGATGGGTGTCTAGAATCCAATACATTTGTAAAGTCATTTCCATTTGTTGGGTTCAGAGATCACCTACAGCCCATTCCATTAAGTACTGTATTTGGTAAGAGGCAATTTAAACCTTGAATCCCTAGGTTTACAGTGGCTTAAATTCACACGCTGGATGAACTCACTTGTGGACCTAGCCCATCCTATTTTATCTGCTTATGTAAGAATTCCAACCACACTCTTCTGATGCTTCATTCAGGGTGGTTTGCAACACTGATCGGAGGAGGCTGGTGCATTAGGCTAACCAGGACCTACCCTTACCACACAAAATGTCTTGCTATTACACTTCTGCACCTTACCAGAAATGTGGTGAAACGGGTGGTAACCTCTGGCATTTTCATACAGAAGACTGGCTTGCTGGGTGGTTGCACATCATGGTGAGTTGCCAGCTGGCAAACTATTACCTGAATTCACCCACTGGCAGTGCAGTCCATGCATGAGCTGATGCATGCTGCAAATGGGAAGAGCAACCTTCACCAGATAGGAATCCTGATCCACAGGTATAAACCGTGTGTGAGCACATTACAATCTTTGTCTTGTTTTCCTTACTGCAGTTAGAACAGCTTATTCATATTTTTTCAGATGGCTGATGAGACTTCTCTAGGCTCCCACAACCTAATTACATTTGCATCTGTATTATCTCACATTTACACAAATGTCTATCCATTGTGTGCCTGTATTTTACTTGGAAAGGAACAAGAGTTATTTTCGTCCGTTGTGAAAATCAACAAATCATACAACTTTTGTGTGTGTGTGTGTGTGTGTGTGTGTGGTTTAAAACACTGACTGCACATCTTGCACTACATACCTTTGCAATTCTTATGCCAGTTACCCACTGATGTAGAGACTGCCAGTCATCACAGCACAAATATCTGATATACTGAGACTCCTTCTGTATCTGGGGATGCTATTAATAATAAAAAAATTTATCATTAAAATAGATTGAAATTAAAATAAGTGGAAAAAAGGATGGTCTTACATTAGCGGGAAACAAATTAGACATACATCTGTGAACGAGTCACAAAATGCTTAATAACAAAATGCTGCTTATTATAAACACATTTGTAAGGAGATATTTGTTGGGTGGAAGCTTAGCTTGAAACGGCCTACTTTCAACATGACTTCCAGCCAAGTAAATGTGAGGCATGTCACAGTTCTGAGCTTAGCATTCAGTGTGTAAATTGAGGTCTCCATTGAGGATTGTCATCTGGCAGTTGTATAAGCTAGAAGATTAACATATCTGCAGTTTCCAAGAAGCAAGCAATTTTTTGAGAAGCATATGATGTAGTCTCTGCTCCACATCCCCTAATTTAGGATTTCTGTGTCTCTGTTTAGGATCTGGTATCAGCTTGCATACATAGTTTCCCTGGTCCCAATATTTTTTTCTGCATACGTTAAAAAACAACAACAAATCCATCCCCTCACCGCCTCCCTACTATGTGTGTTAATTTTTGAGTTTGTCATGCATTAACTTCAAAGTATAACCTTGTTAGTGCTTAATGGAAAATCTGCTTAGTGCTTAATGGAAAATCTGCATAAAATGTATACTATAAAATACATCTGATCATGAAGTCCAGTGTGTTCCGAGTTCTGTATTTAATTCATTTACTATTTAGCTAATTTATGTGCCGCCCTTTAACAAAAAATATCCCAGGGTGAGTTTCATAACAAACTTGTTCCACCTAATCACTAGTACATGGCAGCAAAGGTAAACACACAAAACCTTCACCCAATTCGGCCCATGACACCTATTCCTTTTATAACATATGGCAAATGTTTACTGAATACATAAATTGTTCAGACTGTGGCAGGAACCCACCCAATACTCAGGTGAAAATGTGGTGTGATCTTTTAGAATAATCAAGTGAAACTTTATTACATAGCACGACAAAAGTCTGTAATTTTATCAGGACAAATTATTTGTTCACTGTTGCAACAATTGTTTTTTCAAAATGTATCTTCTGCACCATGAAAAATGTAGGGCAACTAAAATGTTCGCATGCTAAGTAGAATGGTCAGCTCAGTGCTGATGAGTATGGTACTTCCATTCTAGAAATGATTCTTCCGTCTTCTATTGGGCCAGAGAACTAGGAATTTTGATGCGTTGTAAGTATCCATTAAATCCAGCAGATGGCATCAGATACTTTTCAATTTTTAAAGATCGCTTTTAACCAAAACAAACATTACCATGACGCTAACCTTTGCCAGTCTTCCTTAATATTCCAAATAATATACTTCATTATTTTTAAGAGGCTCCATAAGGAAGCATTGCAGATTTTCTGAAGTGTTTTTAAATTCAAATATCTTCACTTGAAACTCCCCTCATGAAAGCAGCTTTTCTTTTTAAAGAAATAAAAAGGCTGGCAGGGTTTTTGACGCCCGAGCTGGTGTGTAATATTTAGTTATACCCTCCAGTTCCTTTCTCTTGTCTTCCCTCTGAAGCATTCTCATTAGTTATTGGCTGCCAATTACAACATGAGGCAGGGCTCCCCTGTCTTAAGGTCTGCAACTCAGTGGCTACATGGCTTAGCGTGAAAGCTTGAGTGTGTGAGAATTCCTGCCCCCTCACATTCTCCAGTTGCTTTGATGTAAGCCAAGCATGTCCAAAGTCTGCTTCGGGGGTCTAATCTGGCCCACTGGTCGATTTAATCATTTAATCCGGCCGCCGTGGCAGAATATGTCCTGGGGGGAAATCCTTTTTTTAAAAAAGCTTAATAACTTTGGTCAGCCCTCACGCATGTTCAGATCATCAAATCTGGCCCTATTTGAAAAAAGCTTGGGCACCCCTGAGTCCTAAACCATAGTTTGGCTTAGCGTGTCCTCCAAACCTGGGCTTGTGGTTTGTCTCCTTCAGGCAAACCACGAGCAGTAAACCCAAGAACGAAACCTTGGTTATAGATCATGGTTTGTTTGAAGCAAGACAAACCATGAGACCCAGGTTCAAGTGACATGCTCAGCTAAACCACGGCATCTCTCTCAGAAGCTCTGCAGCAGTACCACCAAGATGTGGCTGGGATCTCCTCTCTGAGAAACACATATGTGTCTCAAGTGTATTCACTCTTAGCCATATGTACGAACTGGATTAATGTATGGAAGGGAGCGTTTTAGGAGAAGTAGCTATTTCCATTATAGCCATTAAACTTTTACATTTCAAAGCAGAAGCCTACAAACGCTTTGGTGCCTGATAGAAGCATTCTTATTTAGACAAACTTGCCCAGATGCTTAGAATGTTGGGGTAATTTTAATCTGTTTTGTTATTTTAGCTTTTGCATGTTTTAAAGTGTGGTTGTGCTTTCCCCCCTTTGATTTTACTGTTTTATCTTTTGTAAACGCTGTATGATTTTTGTGAAACAAATAAATAATAAATACAAACTACTGTCCTGGTCATAAGCACATGGTGGGCATGACCTCCCATTAACTTGGCACATTTAGTTGGAACAGTTCTCATTGAAAGCTGGGACAGCTCTCATTGTTTGAATGTGTGATTATATCCTCACCAGTCAAATACCTCAGTTTGTTTCTTTGCACCACATCAACCAGTTTGCAAGGGGAAGCAGGCTGGGATGCAACAAGACGAACTCCGGATTTCAGCTTTATGCAGTTTTTGAGTTTATTACACTATGACATATATGTACCAGATTACATGGACTAGCCCTAGAAGGCCAACATTAAAGAACATGGCAACACAATTCTCAAAGCACCATCTGAAAGATGTCTCTAAAGGTTATTACCAAAGCCCAGCTGGATAGGCTGCAATGGCAGGTACTAAGGCGTGGAAATAGGGTATGATGATGCTATTGTGCCAGCTTGTTCCCAGGGCACCAATTCTTTCACCCTAGATTAATTCCACATTATGCACCATTACTCTCAGGTTACTCATGCAAAACCTGCACCAATAAAGCATAATTAAATTCTCCTGGTATCAGACACAACAGACTGACTAAACGAGCCAATTTACATTTAGATTACCTTGCTACTGTCAACTGTGAATATATTTTTTATTAAAAAAAAACCTTGGGGTTAAGATTTTATGCTAGTGAGTCTTTGAATTTCCAAAAGTAATGCCATAGTGCTCATAACTTGAACTCAAAAGCAAATGCTCCTGAAAAGGCGCTACCATGCCCTAAGTTTTAGCAGGCATGGGGATGCAAACACCTAGTTGTTTGTTGGCAAAAAAGACAGACTACAAACATACTTGGAAGTTCCATTAAAATAAATAGGACTTAGTGCATTGCAACAAGGCCAAGGCCTGTACATAGCCAATCCTCAAAGCTCTGTGTCTGGCATGCATAACTATTCATTTAAAATCAGTGCAAATTGGGATTTATCATTCAAATATTTCAACAGTTCTGGAGTCTGCCAGGCTTTCCAGCCAAACTAGATATGATGTAGAATATTCAGTTCAAAAGATCCTCTGCATTTTAAAAAGGTATAAATAGCAGCTGGAAGCCTGGGAAACTGAAGAAACTTGGTGTGTAATGTGAAGTGTATCATGAGGGAAACTTTTATATTTCAATAATTCAAATCAGGCTCATGGAGCTTGGGGAGGGACTTAGCATTCCCACCATGCCATTGTTCCAATCAACATTCATCTAAAACTCCATTTCACACTGTCATACCTAATTTGTGTTGCAATCCTGGAAGCCAAGACCCAAGTCTGGGGCAAGTACTGTTGGATTAGAAAACTCCAGCAGAGATTTAAAATCACAAAACATGAAGCAAAGAAAAGCATGGAAATATAAGTTGCAAAAACTTAAAAATGTGCTCTTTTGTTGAATCCCCAAATGTCCCCTTTTAAAAGCTTTTTCCAAGCTAATCCACACCCCACAGCACAGAGATAGACCACACCTTTGGTAAGTCATAAAATGGTTTACCTACAAAAATCTTCAAAGGTCAGATTCATGTGCTATTCCATGCAGCAGTCAGAAAAGATGCACAGGCAGACAAAATATGATTTAATTACAAAAGGTAAAAGTTTCTAAACTATTGGTAAAGAAAAAAACCACGAGTTTCAGACTCCGATCTGGTCGGAAACAAAAGAGGCTGGTTAAAGCCATGCAGAGCTCCTCTCAAGGTGGGAAGTGGCATAGGCTTAGGCCTGGCCGGACAGCTTACTCTATGGTTTAAGCCCTTCATTGATTAGATTCAAACAGGCTAGAGTTATATGAAGTTGAAACCCTGCTATTTCCCTCTCTTACCTTTGCCCTCTAAAGATTGTTTATATCCAGAAACTCTAGAAATCTCACTTCCATTTCTAGGCTCTAACTAGAAGAGTTTTACAGAACAACAGGATTGCATTACAAATGTGACACATGCTTACAACAGCCACTCCAGAATGCATGATCTTTTGTACCTACCTTTAAGACAAAACAGTGGTCTGTAGGTGCCTTATACTTTGCTTTGTACTGAACACCGTAATAAACATTTACGTTCTCAAACTGTATGAAGCAAGCCAAATCCCGAGATGTCTACAAAATTAAAGCCAAACACACCATAAATTATTATAGGTAAAGGTAAAAGGTAAAAATTATACGAAATACATTATGACACTAAACATGGTCATCAGGTTAGTCTGATCCTGTTTCTTAATGCAAAGACTTTTAAGCATAACAACAACAGAGAGAATATCAGACTTGAGGCTTTTCAGCGGCATAGCGTGGGCAAGGCAAGTAATTTGCGCCCCCTAACCCGTTGATTTGTGCCCCCTAACCTGTGGATTTGCACCCCCTAACCCGTGGATTTGCCCTAACCCCAGATGTTGCGCCCGGTGCGGCCGCCCCCCCTGCACCCCCCACGCTACGCCACTGAGGCTTTTCCTGAGCTTTCAGGTTAAAAATGAGTAGCTGCACTAAGATTTACATCAGAGGCTGGTTTTCTGTGTAGCCTTTTTATTTCCTATTTCGGTACCATGAACTTTCCTAAATAGATTTCTTACCCACATATTCTAACACAATCTGACTTTAGTTTCCTTTGCAGAAGTGTACGCAAGTTACTGTGATTCCCTGGAACCAATGTAGCCTTAGATGTTTCTGCTATGGCTGTGTAAACACAACACCTTTAAAACACATTCAAAGCACATTCTTCTGCTCAAATACTTAAGGGTGCAGTCTGCATTGAGGCAACACCGGTTGTTGAAATTTTGCGCCGCTAATAATTCTGCACCAAGGGTAACCGCCCCTGTGGCCTCCCCAATGCTAAAACACTGGGTGGATCATCACTTTGAGGGGTAAAATACAATGCCCACATGTGCAAGAAAACCACATATATAATTCATGTTCACTTCCGGGTTAACGCGATCTGGAAATGGCGGATCCCCTCCGAGCTGCGGAGGGAATCGGCTCCACAGAGGTTGGGTTTTGCCGCGCCGGCGACGCGGGGACCCGCAGAAACCGTAGGCGCTGAAGCCTACGGACTGGAAGACTCGGTGGGCGCCTTAAGCACCCCCCGACCCCCGAAAGGGTACGGAGGGCGGTGTGGTGCTGTGAGTCGATCGACACCCCTGTGGAGCGTAGCCGCGAGCCATGACCGGAGAGCGCTGACTTCCTCCCTGAGAATTTGGACTGAAAGAACTAACCCGTGAGTAAATGGAATTCGGCTTTAAGAAATTTTTCCTTTGAATTCGAGACGACCGGAGGGTGTGTTAAAAGGGAGTCCGCACCCCCCCTAATTACAGACAATTTTTAAGCAAGGTCGAGAGAACTAAGGCGGAAAGGATACCTTTACATACTACAAAAGAAACTATCTTCCACGATTTAACAAAAGAAGTGTTGTGCTGGAGAGTGAGGAGAATTTTTCTTTCTTTTTTGTTTGAGAAAATTCCCCCCCAGGGACCAGGGAGAGTCCCGTGTTTGAGTCTGGTGAAGAAGACTAAGGAGTTTGACAGCTGTCAAAAGAGCTGTCAAATGGACAGATTGAAAGTTTGTTAACTGGACTTCTGGGTTGACGCGATCTGGAAATGGCGGATTCCCTCCGAGCTCCGGAGGGAACCGGCTCCACTGAGGATGGGTCTTTGCCGCGCCGGCGACGCGGGGACCCTTAAAAACCGCAGGCGCGGAAGCCTGCGGACTGAAGACTCGGCGGGTGCCTTAAGCGCCCCCCCTGATTCGCAAAGAGCCTTTTTAAAGGCTGCGGAGGGGATACGGGGGTGGCGTGGCACTGAGAGTCGATCGCTACCTCGGTGGAGTGAAGCCGCGAGCCATGACCAGAGAGCGCTGACTTCCTTCCTTGAAAATTTGGACTGAAAGAATTACCCGTGAGTAAGACGGATTGGGACTTTATAAAAATTTTACCTTGAATTGGAGACGATCGGGGGTGTGCTAAAAGGAAGTCCGCACCCCCCCTTGCAGACGACCTAAGCAACGGCATAAGAGCTAAGCTGGAGAGCCTACCCCTGGTGGGGTGAGTTAAAAAGGACATTAACTTCCAAGATTTAACTAAAGGAAATTTTGGGCTGGAGAGTGGAGTTTTGGGAACCTTCTTTTTGTTTCAAACAACCCCCCCTCCCGGGCTCGGGAACGTCCTGCCTTGGTGCCTGTGTAAGAGCTGCGGAGTTTGACAGCTGTCAAAGCTGCCAAACGGCCGGTTTAAAGTGGAAAAATTGTCATCTCTTGACTAAGACGAGCTATAATTGAGCTAAAACTGTTGGAAACAAAGTAATAATAATCAGTTAAAGGATTGTTGGTGAAAAGGCTAATAAGTAACCAGATTCCCCCTAGGGGGAATTCTGTGAAACTACAATGGATACAATGGCTGCGGAAGGAAAGTTACTAGTGGAAATCGAAAGGATGTTTCAATTGGTGGGAATCTTACAAGAGCAGAGCTTGGCCATGAATAAACAACTTGAGACTATGACCTTGGGAACAGGCAACTCAGCTCTTTGTATTGAGGACCTCAACGAGAAAGAATTCACAGCTGAATGGGAAACAATACTTATAGAGTTGGAAGAGACTAAACAACAAGAAAAAGAAGAAGTAATCCTGGGAAGCAACAACCAAAAGCTGACATCTGCGGAACATAAGCAAGGAAACGCTGGGAACATACCTACTACAAGTCTGCGAAAGATACAGAAGAAGAAGGAGGAGGTCCCGGGACAAAATGGAATACAGAAATTTAAAATAAAGAAATATGATTGGGGCCTCCGTTTGGACTTTGATCTTGAAGAGATAGGTTTTGTGGAAATTCTTCAGCAGTTACTTTTGAATCCCCTTGTGGGAAGAGGAAACACTTTGATGGTGAAAGAACTTTTCCCAGACTTGACGACTGACATAAAGGACTACCAACGGGACAGGCGGAGAGGGACTGAAAGGGATTTGAAAGCCTCGGACGTGAGGAACCCAGGCTGAGAAACTCGAATTTGGATTTTTATTGGGAAGGGACAAAAACCGGGGATGGGAGGGAGGGAAGAAGAGACTTTAAAAACTCTTAAGACTTTTAGGTTTGGTTAATATGACTCTTAATTAAGATAAAATGAAAATCGATGGAAGAGAACTTAAGTCCAACTTAGGAAAATTAATTTTTATTATAAAATAAGGAAATAAGATGAATAAGATTGTTAAGAGGAGAAACACCAACTTGCTGATATAATCTTGAAACTGGGATGCACGAGGGGAGGTGGGGGGAAGTCAGGGAACAAGTTTATGAAACGGGGATTTGTTGATTTTATACATGTTTTTGTCTTTCTTTTTTCTTTGTGTATGTTTTGTCTTTATAAAACCAGAAAACCAAATAAAAATTTTATCAAAAAAAAAAAGAAAGTTTGTTAACTGATATCTCTCTGAACTAAAAGTAAATTGAAACAAAGTTGTTGGAGACTTGATAGAAAGAAACATAAAGAGGTTTGGACTGTTGGAAAAAGTTTAAAAAGTAACCAGAATCCCTCTAGGGGGATTCCAAAGCTACTACAATGGCTGCAGAAGGAAAATTACAGGCAGAGATAAACAGGATGTTCTTTCTTGTGGGAATTCTGCAAGAGCAGAGTCTGAGTATGAGCAAACAATTAATGACCTTGACTTCAGGAACAAACAACTCTGCGGAATGCATGAAGGATCTGACAGGAAAAGAATCTGCAGCCAAAACAGAAGCAATATCTCAAGAAGCGGAGGAAAGAGAGCAAGGAGAAGAGAATGAACAATTGGAAAATACCACCAAAAAGCCCATAATGGTGGACTCCAAGGGAAAGGATACTTGGATCATGTGGACTACAACCTTGCAAAAGATGTTAAAGATGAAGGAGGGAGCCCCTGAAGTATCTGGATTACAGGAACTTAAAGGACACAAGAAATATGATTGGGGCCTCCCTTGTGAATATGAAAGACTGGTTGAGTTCTGGCAGCAGTTGTTACCGAGTATCTTGGAGGGAAGGAAAATTGGAGTGATGGAGAATGGACTGCTTCGAGATTTTATGATCGATATAAGAGACTTCCAACAAAACCGGCGGAGAGGAACAGAAAGAGATTTGAAGGCCTCGGACGTGAGAAACCCGGGCTAAAAACTACGGTGGACTTTTATTTGAAAAGGGACCAGTACCTGGGAAGGGGGGAGGGGGAAACAGAAGGGCAAGAACGATGAGGAACTTTGGGTTGGGTGAAAAGGGCCTACATTTAAAAATGGGAAATCTGTGGAAGGGAACTTAGGCCGACCTTAGGAAAGAATTTAAATGTTTATGAGAATTGGGGATAAGAGAAATGGGGCAAATTAAAAAGAGACAGATTAAAAATATCATTATAGGTTAAAGAGAAGAAACTAAAACTTGCTGAGTTAATTTTGGGAATAGGGATGTATGAAGAGGGGGTGGGGGGAAGTCCGGGGAATAAAGTTAAGAATATAAGGCTTTGAGAATATATTTGTTTTGTTTTTGTTGTATTTTTGTGTGTTTGTCTATAAAAAGTGTGAAAACCTAATAAAAATTATTTTAAAAAAAAATATAATTCATGTTCACTGGGAAATGCCAGCATGGGTTCAAGCATCTTTATAAGATAATGAATTTTTCTCCAGTCATGTTCAAGGTTTATTTGCATACAAGTGCAAAGTTGATCTGTGATTCTGCTCCAGGCTGCATCAAAAGGGCAAATCTCCCTCTCGCCTCTAGTAGCCTTTTGTCTAATGCTGTGAAATAGCCCTTGCTTGTTCTTAACGGGTTGCCATGGCAACGAAGTTTTTCTTACTAGTGCAGTAGTGCACCCAATTTCCGAGCTAAGGAACTGTGAGTAAACGACATAACACAGGCATTCATGTGATGCTTCTTTAATGGAAATGGAACACAGTCTCAGAATTCTTCCTGACTTTGGCTACGCTTTAAGCCAACTGATGACAAACTAGATGCGGCGTTAAATAGGTATTTGCATTTAACATGCACATTTATAGTAAAAGGTAAAGGTACCCCTGCCCGTACGGGCCAGTCTTGACAGACTCTAGGGTTGTGCGCCCATCTCACTCTATAGGCCAGGGGCCAGCGCTGTCCGGAGACACTTCCGGGTCACGTGGCCAGCGTGACAAGCTGCATCTGACGAGCCAGCGCAGCACACAGAACGCCGTTTACCTTCCCGCTAGTAAGCGGTCCCTATTTATCTACTTGCACCCGGGGGTGCTTTCGAACTGCTAGGTTGGCAGGCGCTGGGACCGAGCGACGGGAGCGCACCCCGCCGCGGGGATTCGAACCGCCGACCTTTCGATCGGCAAGTCCTAGGCGCACATTTATAAAGACTGCAAATGGAAGCTCTGTTGGGGGGTGGGTCTGAAGAGCCATGGCGACTGCAGCAAGAGTCCCTCCTCTGAAGTTCTTTGCAATTTTCTCAGCTCTGCAGCAAGGAAGCAAGGGTTAAACTCACCCTCCACACCTGATGCTATCCTGATAACTATCACAACCACACCTGTGCCTTCTGTTTGTGTTTTAATACTGTTAACCCCCCAGCATCCACTCCAAATGGCTTCCTCCCAAACCAGCTTTTCCTGGACTGAGGATGGAGGAAAGGTGTGTTAGGAGTTCAGTTATGCATAGCTGCAGGTAACCCGTCATTAGGACTCAAGAGAAAAGCATGCTTGTAGACCTTAAGGACACAAAGCTAGGAAGGGCAGGGCAAGTTGTCAGTGGGGGTGGGATTTCAGTGCCATGCACTTTTCATGACCTCTTCCATAACTGAATTAAGCGGAGCCCTGTAAAAGGTGCAAATAATGAATTCACATCTTTACAGGTCCCAGACTGTAACATGCTCTGTGATGTTTTAAGTGAAGAATATATGCACACATGTTACTGGCAGAACAGAGATCTGTCCCTCCAGCCATGAATTGCTGTTCACTTTCCTTATGTATTTCTGGATGGCAATTCAAGGTGAATTTTCTGACGTGATACTGCCAGGCTGTGCCCATTCACCTCAACAAAATGTGCATGAAAAGAACAGAAATTCCATAGTACAATACTGGATTGCACCCTCAGACTTGGATCCACGCAGCAGTGGATCCACCACAGGCCTTCTGCTCAAGTGAGGACCTCCCCCCACCCCCTCACCAATTTAAGCTGATTTCCACCCTCCCTCCAGCTATAGTCCCCTTTACTATCCCTTATGCATTTGTGGGAGGGGGCACGTGGGTGGCAACTATAGGAAGCTCAAGCTTGTTAGTAATATACCAAAATCATAGATTCAGAGAATCCCTTTGCCTCTGTGGGGGGCGGGGAACCAAAACAAAAGGAGAGAGAAAAGGGATTCCTTGTCTCCCCTCAAAAGCTACATCCTAGGGACGCGGGTGGCGCTGTGGGTTAAACCACAGAGCCTAGGACTTGCCGATCAGAAGGTCGGCGGTTCGAATCCCCGTGACGGGGTGAGCTCCCGTTGCTTGGTCCCTGCTCCTACCAACCTAGAAGTTCAAAAGCACGTCGAAGTGCAAGTAGATAAATAGGTACCGCTCCGGTGGGAAGATAAACGGCATTTCTGTGCGCTGCTCTGGTTCGCCAGAAGTGGCTTAGTCATGCTGGCCACATGACCCGGAAGCTGTACGCCGGCTCTCTCTGCCAATAAAGCGAGATGAGCACCACAACCCCAGAGTCGGTCACGACTGGACCTAATGGTCAGGGGTCCCTTTACCTTTACCTTTATTATCCAGACAAAGAACAATCTTTGGTAGAAAAAAATGCATGGCAGATATGCTAAAGGAAGGAAGGAAGGGAGGGAGGGAGGGAGGGAAAGAAAGAGGCTATCAAAGCCAAATTTGATACTTTCTCTAACTTTCTCTTTAGCCTGCCTTGAACAATGGCAAGACTCTTCTGCTTGCCTCGTGCCAATAGAAAACCCTGAATGTCTGCAAACTGTCAAGATACGTTTCCATAGGGAACTAGACGAAAAGTAATGGCACCTTTTTACTTTGAATGGGCAACTGCAGATTTGGCCTTTTTGGTTTCCTTTCATGTCTGGGTTTTAAAGAAACGAAAGGTTTTTTTTAATCTAACTGGAAAAACAAACCTGGAGGGAGTGGGGGTGGGGGTAGCCCCAAAGGAGCCCAGCAACTCTATTCTAATATTTGCACAAGTGCTGCAGCCCAAAGAAGGACCCCTCTCAGGTGCACCAGATGCTGCCCTTAGAATGTCACCTCGGGATTTCTTTACTTTCACCTTCATGAATTGCTTTATTGCCTGAAAGGATTTCTTTGACTTGCCTGACCTTGGTCTTTCCTTTGGGTACGTAATAAATTCCAGAAGCTCGCAGGAGAAAATAACGTCTCTTCCAGGACTTCTTCCCGTCTTCTTTTAAATAAAGGGCCCCTTCAACTTCTGGTACAGTGACAGATGTGCCACAGAAGCTTTCCTGTGGAGTGAAAATGGGGTTAGACAAAACAGAAGCGGAACGCAGGAAACGTCAGAGCCAGCTAGCTCAGTTCTGCCTGCACGGGCTGGTAGCCACTTTCCAGGGCTTCCAGACTGGAGTCCTTCGTAGCCTTACCTAAAGAGGCCAGGGGCTGAACCTAGTTATACATGCAAAACATTGCCCTATGACCGAGCTATGGCCCTTTGTAGGTCGCAAAGGCTATTGAGATTATGTACACAAATGATTTGCGCACTCAAAAAAGGACTACACATAGGGGAACAGCACAACGGATGGGGATCTTTCAGAGCCTTTCCAGGGACTGAACTTGAGATGTTTCTGTAGGCAAAGGAAGTGTTCTGCCACTAAGCTACTGCCTGCCCACAAGCAGTCATGTTAGCTAGAGCAGCACACTGGCCACAGGTTAGCAGGTTAACTATACAAAAATAATATCTACTAAGGCAGCCTTTCTCAAACTCCCATCATCCCTAACTACCAGGACCAGTGGTCAGGGATGATGGGAGTTGTAGTGCAACAACATTTGGGGGCCCAAGTTTTAGAAAGGATGTCCTAATCCTTTGTTGTTGTTCTTACCACCTTAAACAATCTGGTGTCATCAGCAAACTTGGCTTACCTCACTGCTTACCTTTAACTGTAAATCATTTGTGACAGTTACAAAGTCAATACTGATTCTTTGGGGACCTCACATCTCACACCCCTCCATTGTGAGAATTGTGCATTTAATCCTATTGTGCTAGAGCTTCCTGTTTTTGCTAAAACACGTCTATTGCTTTTGGGGTCTTAGGAAGACATCCATCCATTTCATAGCCAAATGCAGTGTTGCTTATCCCAAACTTTTGCTTACCTCCAGTAAAGCCTCTTTGCTTTTTTCATTCATTTCCTTGCTTTCATTTTTCCCTTTATTGGTCAAGTAGAAATTCTAATTAAAAATGCAAAGAAGGGTGATGATGATAAGGCAATGTCCATGAATTGGGAAGGTCCCTATACCTAAAACAACAGGTGCAAATAGCAGGTGCTATACCTGTGTCTACCCAATTGCATTTCATGTCAAAGTCCCAGTAGCTGCCATAGTCCATATAAAGTTTCCAATCAGACAGCCAATCAGAGCTCTCAGGAGCAGTAGGTACCGCGGTGTGCCTGTTCATTTGCCTAGCAAGCAAGCAGGTGGTAGCAGGGAGGAGCTGGAGGAGCAGCTGGTGACAACTATGATGAAAAATGAGGGCCTTGGACAAGTCAGATAGCCAATCAGAGCTCTCAGGAAGGTGCAAAAAACAGATATTTTATTGCTAAGTTTTTTAAAAAAACAACAACACCTGCATGCTATTGCACATTTTCTATGCAAAATAATTTTCAGTGTGTGTCTCCTCATTCATTAGAGTGGACCACTTGCTTCCTATGATCACTACTTTCATTATACAGACTATGATCAGTGAAGGCTGGTGAGGAATTTGGCAAAGAAGCGCAAGAGATGAGAAGTCTGAGATAAACATGGAAACAAATTTATGTGACTTCACATGACCATTTTGAATACGAGTCTCCCCAATGGAAAGAGAGGGGAAAGTATTTCTGTACATAAGCAGTGTATTCATGATACATCCGAAAGGCATTTACACTTCAATCCTGTGCCGACTTTCCCAGGAGTAAATCCCATACAACTATGCTGCCAAAGCCCAACCCTAATCACATTTACTTGGGAAAGTCCTTGAAATTTTAATGGGACTTAACTTCCAGGGAAGTACCATATACACAGAACAATCATGCTCTTCTTGGACACTGAGACTTGTATAGGAAACCAAAATTTCAGCGCGGCTTGCACAGAAAACACATGCATTGCACCTAATGTCCCCTTCAAAGACGACCAAAGCTGTTTGCATTTGTTTATGTTTGCATATGCACGAACAAACCCAATTCTCATCTTGCTATTGTCACCATGGAACAAACTCAAAACAGCTGCTCACAGCCTTTTTTTCTTTTTTTAAGAACTTCCTCTGGCTACAAGCAATTTATATTTGAGCATCTGGTATTTATTTAAAGGGGAAACAGACCACCCTGTATCTTTAACTCAGTGCTATAGACCAGTGTTTCCCAACCTTGTGCCTCCAGCTGTTTTTGGACTACAATTCCCATCATCCCTTGCCACTGGTCTTGCTAGTCAGGGATGATGGGAGTTGGTACTGGTAAACAAGAAAGATAATTGACAGGAGTTTTTGACAACAGCATATGACCTTGCTTGTCAAACCCATATTAATACAGATGTGGTTTTTTCCTGTGTCTCATTTTTCAGCATTGCTATGCATTGTTGCTTATTTGATACTCTTCCATTGCTAAAAAGGGAAAATGCTCGCCATTCATCATCCTTCAATAAGCAGGCTGGGCCAAAGGACGAGGCTGCATGTTATACAGGTGGATAAATTGTCATGTTATCTCCTATAGACTACAGCACCACTGAAGATGACCACACGTGTCTGAAAGAAGTCTGTGGTTCCTTTCTGAAAATACTATGAGGAGAAATAGTCTCTGACAAGGCAGACACTATATGCTTCTTAGTTCTGCTGCAAATTGCCAGTATACAGTGGTACCTCAGGTTACATACGCTTCAGGTTACAGACTCCGCTAACCCAGAAATAGTGCTTCAGGTTAAGAACTTTGATTCAGGATGCAAACAGAAATCGTGCTCCAGCAGTGCGGTGGCAGCAGGAGGCCCCATTAGCTAAAGTGGTGCTTCAGGTTAAGAACAGTTTCAGGTTAAGAACGGACCTCCGGAACGGTTTAAGTACTTAACCCGAGGTACAACATAAAAATGCTGGTGAGCATTATATTGCATATACACGCATGCATGCAAAGGGGAGACTATAGATTCTTGTAAGCCACCTTGTTATGAGATATACTAATGGAGAAGGTATAAATATATTAAATAAATAAATCTGTGTGAAAGGGCAGGTTGCTTAACAATTTTGCTGATTCTCCTGGGATTGTAACACAAACCTAAGCATTAGAAGTATAGCTTAAAAACTAACGTTTAGTTTCTCTTTTCTACCAGCTTTCCCATTTAACAATTGGTAGTTGTTGGTTGGGAGCAAAAGGGTCTCCGTTTCTGTGATTCCCATGGACAACTGTTTTTCGTTATATGAAAGTGTGATTCTCAAAACAAGCATTGTGCATTGTGTTCTTTTACTTTAACTAGAGAATTGCTAGTGGCCCTCAGATAGAGTTTATGCCAAGATGTAACGTTTTGGCACCAACAGAAAATCTGCTTATTCACCCAGGATTTTGGTTGAATCTTTGCCACGGCACTTTGTAAAAAGCTATTTAACTGTGCATGTGCTCTTGCGTGTTTTACTGATGGGAATATTTTGTTGCATTTTATCAGTATTGTACCCCCACTTTATAATTTTATTGTAAAAAGCAGCAACAAGATTTATAAATAAATAAAACAATACATTTGTAAACCGATGCTTTATCATGTTACTGATTATTGGTTAATTATCGGTTGTAGTCAACTAGCCTTTGCTCAGAGTAGATAGACCCACTGAAATTAATGGGCCTAAGTTGGTCACAGCCATTCAATGGGCTTACTCTGAGTAAAAGTTAATTGAATACAACTTTATATGATCCCCCCCCCCATTCTTATTAGCGTTGTACCCAGGTTTGGGATTGTTTTAGAATGAAAAACAGGCAATGAATTTTATTTTATTTTTAAAGCGGAATTTGATGTCCTTCTGCTGTTATTTTCCTTTACGTGTCATGGCAAGCATAAATAAGCTAGCCCATTTACTTATTCCAGGTCATCCTTCACCCACCAGTACACAGGAAGGTTGGGGCATAGTGATTGAGGCAGCTGTGTAGTAATTATCTGTATTTTCATTGTTGAGTGACTGCACCTGGCTCTTCCTTATTAACCACACAACGTCCAGCTCATTAACTGAAAGAGGGGTGGATTCCTTGGTCCATTGCTCTGCATGCAGGCTGTACACCAAATGAAACTTTATCAAACACACACAATTAAGACTATGTTATCCTAAGCAGCACGGGCTTCTAAGGTCACTACGCATCCCCCCAAAATGGGGGTTGGGTGGTTTGGTTTTCTTATGCTTTCCAGGAATCTGAGTTTGCATCCTCATACAAAACCCCATGGTCACCCCAGTTCTAAAGTGAAGATGCATTAACTGGGATGCACTGATAGAAATAATTACAGTAGCAGCAGCAGCAGCTGGTGTGAGATAAGTTTATTCTGCAATGCTGCTAAGCCAGGTCTGGGAAACACTCCAATCTTCCCAAAGAGCAGTCCATTTGTCATAGCAGTCACTTTACAAAGTGAGTTAAATTTCACGTTATAAAGATATTTTGAGGATGTGGAGTTGTACGTACTAACGATGTTGAAGCTTCTGATACAAGCTTGTGACCATCCATTTTAATGGAGTAAAATGGAGCAAAGCCTTTTAACACGATTTCCCTGGGAAAATAAAACTAATTATCCCACGAACAGAGTGACTCTCAGAGCCCATGGCAAGCTGAATGAGTGAAGTGGGGCTCGCCAAATGGATAAATCAAGAACTCCACCGAAATCTCCCTTTCCTTGTTGGATGCTAAAATGCACTTTGGTGTTACTTCAGTTTTGACCTTCAGTGACTATTCCCAAGAATGACTATTTAGTGTTTAGTAACCAATATTGTGCTCTGATACATAAGAAGCACAACTCAAGATCCCTTTGATATACCAAGACTGGATGCACCTTCAATCTTTGTCACTTGGGCTGCAAAGCAAATAAAATATCTAGTCATTCCTATATGAAATAAAATCTTACTATCCACCGGCTTGCCTAAGTTATGTTACTTTACCTGTGGGTTTTTAAACACAGCGTATTTTCCCTTTTTTTCTAAAAACAGAATCTTATTCTCAGTGTCCCGGGTCCAATGTGATAAGACTTCAATCACATTTTCATGGTCTTCAAAAAATCTTTCTAGGGAAACCCAAACCAGAAATGTTAAGACAGACAGATATGTTACACATATGCACCATCATCAGAGCACATTCCTATATTTAAATGTAGTAAAATGGTTCAAAAGGATGTGGGTGGTGCTGTGGTCTAAACCACTGAGCCTCTTGGGCTTGCCGGTCAGAAGGTTGGCCGTTCGAATCCCTGCGATGGGGTGAGCTCCCGTTGCTTGGTCCCACTCCTGTGAACCTAGCAGTTCAAAAGCACGCCAAAAAGTGCAAGTAGATAAATAGGTACTGCTCTGGCAGGAAGGTAAACGGCGTTTCCATGTGCTGCTCTGGTTTCAGTGCTCTGTTGCACTAGAAGCAGCTTAGTCATGCTGGCCACATGACCCGAAAAAACTGTTTGCGGACAAACGCCGGCTCCCTCGGCCTGTAAAGTGAGAAAGCGCCGCAACCCCAGAGTCGTCTGCGACTAGATTTAACTGTCAGGGGTCCTTTACCTTTTTAAAATGGTTCAAAGCAATTGCTTATCCATAATATTCAGACCCCAAGAGCCATGATAGACTAGACCAGCAGTTCTCAACCTGTGGGTCCCCAGATGATTTTGGACTACAACTCCCATCATCCCTGAGCTCTGGCCTTGCTAGCTAGGGGTGATGGGAGTTGTACTCCAACATCATCTGGGGACCTACAGGTTGAGAACCGCTGGACTAGACCATATGAAAGTATCTTTGCCAAAACAGAAAGACTTCCCAGATTTTTATTTTTTTTCAGTTTGTAAAAGTTTGCAATGGAATTCCCTAGATTTCACTAGGTACTTTGATGTTTCAGACTTTTTCTTTTAACACTCCCCTGCATGTATTTATTTATATATCCTTACATACAATAAACATGTAAGGCTGTCGTGATGCAGCAGTTTGCTACCTACAGGTAGGTGGCGCTGTGAACTACAGTGTTATGACAGACTGGGCTCTTAGAACTGCTTGGGCATGGCACCAACATGGGAGGGTGATAAGCAGGCAACCAGAGATTGACGTGGGCAGACCCAGATGGGCGAGCAGGCAGATGGGTGGCCCAGGTGAAGTGTAAGGAAAGCAGGGAAGTGGGATGGCCTTGGCAAGCAGTAAGGGGAGGGGGCACCACCCCTAGTGTGTGACACACACCATTAGTAGAGAGAAGACACACCAAAACTAGGAGCTCAGATCTATCGGACGCAAACAAGAACCCACCAAAACGAAGAGATGAGCGCTGGATGGCAACGGCAAAATGTTGCCTGATGTGGTATCACCAAAATGCTTTCTAGGTAAAGGTAAAGGGACCCCTGACCATTAGGTCAAGTCGTGGCCAACTCTGGGGTTGCAGCGCTCATCTCGCTTTATTGGCCAAGGGAGCCGGCGTACAGCTTCCAGGTCATGTGGCCAGCATGACTAAGCTGCTTCTGACAAAACCAGAGCAGCGCACGACAGAAATGCTGTTTACCTTCCCGCCGGAGTGGTACCTATTTATCTACTTGCACTTTGACGTGCTTTCAAACTGCTAGGTTGGCAGGAGCAGGGACCGAGCAACGGGAGCTCACCCTGTCGCGGGGATTCGAACCGCTGACCTTCTGATCGGCAAGTCCTAGGCTCTGTGGTTTAACCCACAGCACCACCCACATTCCAAAACGCATTCTAGTAAAGCTCTAAAATTATAGCATAAGAAGATCCAAAATCTTTGTAACGTACCTATTTGTAGCTCTGGGTATATTTCATAAAGGCACCAGTCCACATTACAGTCGCAGTGGGTTTTTTCAAAGAGATTGTCCAATACATCACGTGCCTCTTGCCGTTCATCCACCATCAGGGATTTCGTACTGTTATCATTCATGTGCACCTTGACAACAAGCTGCGGAGAGAATAATAGATGAGGCACTTAATTTCAACGTGGACCAAAAGGCTACTGTGGTCAAGAATCTGCCTGGGCTGATCAGAGAGATTATTGCCAATTCAAATCCATCATGTATCAGAAAATTGGACCTGGGGGTAGGGTGGGGGAACATAATATGTCTTGGGAACACTACCCAGTCAACAGCTCTACTTCCCTGCCGCTTTCCAAGACAGAATTCATGTTTTGAGTAAAGAGTAACTGAAATGTCATGTAAATATACAGATCGTTTCTCTAAAACATTATTAAACATACAGTTTGCATGATAGCAGAGTTGCCAACATTTTTACCAGCTCTTGCTCTTACATCTTTAACAGCATCAGCTTCAGCAAAAATTAGGAGGTTTTAATGCATATCTCCCTCTCGTTAAAAGCTCCTTTTCCTGGTGGTAGCAAATCAGGCTACTATTAAAGATACAGAAGCAGGCTGCACTAGTTTTTCCTCATCAGCTGGCAACATTATATAGTATCCCTGAAATTATTATTATTTTCTCTCATTCCCTGTGTGGTTTATTTTTAGAACCTTCTCAGAGGAGGCCATAATATTGGGTGGGTTAATATAAAATGAAGGAACAACAAACCCATCAGATCAGACCTAATCTAGAATCCAGTTATAACTGACTGGAAATTCAACACCTAATCTCATTTTATATTGACTTCGGGGATAAAAACACCCTACCAGATCTTCTGGTCTCTGCTTGAGAGATTCGTTAATTGGTGACTGTTTCTGACGACCCGCATGGCTGACTACACAGGTCTAGGATTGGCATAGACTGTGCAGAAGAAAGGGCTATGTCTAAGAAAATATAGTACCTGCCTTTCACCAGGACAGAATCTCACTTGTATATTAAAGCATTCTGTCGGAAGAAATAGGAAGCCATTGTTCAGGTATGCACCAATTCAGGTGTAACTGACCTTTCTGCATTAGAGACACTGAAACTTTAATGGTTTTGCAGACATGGGAATTTGGGCACCTCCAGCTTTTCAAAGCCCTCCAATACTCTGCCACAAAAAAGCTGCATTCGCTGAGATACCTCCAGCTGCACAACAATGAAAGGAGCAGGTGCTTTAATGTGGTCTAGTGGTTAGAGTGTTAGCAATAAAGGTCTAAATCCTCATTCCGCTATGAAGCAAACTGGGCTATCCTGGACTAGTTATTCTCCCGCTCTCAGCCAGACCTACCTTTTGACTTTATAATAGCTACAAAGGCTGTGCATTCCCCCCCCCCCATGTTAAGCAATTTTTTTCACATGTTAAGCAACTGGCACATGTTGTTCATGTTTGCGTTTACTACGATCAGCTACAATGGTTCTCAATTATTACTGGGTCTTGGTAAAACAGAGGTTCCTATCTACTACTTCATGATCAAAACGCTTGTGTCCACAAAGTGAAAAGAGAAGTGTTCACTGGAAGGAGACTTGAGACTTCCTAAATAATCACAGTCCTACTATCTGTCTGCATCTAAGAAAATAAAAAAGTCAGTTCCTTGCCAGTAAATGTTACTTTAGTTCTGCTAATTCTAATTATAAGATCTCTGCACGAACAGCTCTGGCAGTGCAGTGTTGAATTTTGCTCAAACTATAAAAAGCAAGGAGCGTTGAGAAACTAACTGTATTCTTTCCAAATCCCTCCACTTTAGTAACTTGTACTTTGGTACTTGTGCAGAATATTTGTTTGTTTTGAATACACTGTTATAATTCTTTGAGAAGAAAAGGTAAAGGGTAGTGGAAATAATGCCAGGCCAATATTTGGGATTGCCCAGAAATACGGTGATAGCATTTTTACATTCTACTCCAGAGAGTTGGGGGAACCCCTATAACAGATTTGGGGAGAATTGTGCAAATGGAAATCCATTTAGTGAGCGCCTTGGCTTAAGACTCTCAATTACTCTTCTATTTAGCAAAAGCGTGTGTCTGTGCAGTACTGCTAACCTTCCCCATCCACCTGCAGCCCTCACAGCATGGAAACAATTCACAAGGCTCCTCCAACCTTTGGAGCAGATCTTTTGGGTGGGTGCACAGGGAGTTTTTGGAGAAATTGTGGGGCAAGTAGTGGGCCAGAGCTCTGGAGCCTAATATTGTTGCTGCTTACCTGGACCAGAGTGGAGCAGGGCATGGCGGCAGCAAGGTGTGCAGGCATCCTGGCTGAGTCAATTTGCTGTCCTGCCCTGTCCGTGAGCCCATGCAGCCCCAACCTCACTGCCACCAAGTCCCATAGCCGCCTTATCCACTTAAACAGCAGCAACGCGGATGCCAGGCTCCATGGCTCTACTCGGCTACACATGCCATTACAGCTGCAGAAGGAGGCTGACCATTCAGATTTCATAAACAGACTTCTCTGTTGTGTTCACTGAAAAGGCTAGGATCTAAGCCAAGGTGACATATTTTTACCGCTCATGGAAAGGGCAGCTATTTTCGTTTCTTTAAAAAGTCATTAGCAGTCCTTAGGGCTACAGTTCCCATGTACGGCTATTTTTCATGATAACACTCCTGTTCTGATGGATTGTTATCAAACACATCTATTTGTTTTTTTAATTGTTCTGTGTATATTTTATTGCTACTGTCCTTTAACTGTTCTGGAATAAATATTTATGAAGGGTGGCATTAAAAAAAAACACCTTCAGTAAACAGAAGTGGAATATCCACAGCTTGGTGGAAAACAGGTATGACCTGTCTGGTTTGTGATCTGGACATCTTGGCAAATCATCCAATCAACAGGCAAACAAAATGGAGGGGAAGGTACACGAAACAAGCCAATAAGTGACTGTATAAAATGGTTGTTTAAAATTGTAAGGTTTGACTGTCAATACTTTTGCAAAAATAAAATACAATAGAGACTGCTACCTTTTTAACTTTGGCTTCCTTCAGTTTTTCTAATGCAAGCTTAATCTTGTCAGCTTTTGCTTGCGCCTCTTGTTCTTCCTGAAAGAAGAAAGATTGTAAAGCCCCTTTGAAAGACACCACACCCCAGTAAGAAGCATTCTATCCCCTTTCCATTTCATGAACACTTTCATTTTCTTCTCCCTTTTAAATTTTAATTTTGGGTGCTTTCTGCTCCAACATGGGTTTGCACAGCATCCCTTTATGTAGAATACCACTGTTCTAGTTGGTTGGTTTCTTCTTCTTTTGCGGACCGCCATAATTAACAATAATAATAATAATAATATATTTATTTATTTATGCCACGTCCATCTGGCTGAGTTTCCCCAGCCACTCTGGGCGGCTTCCAATCAAGTCTTAAAAACAACACAGCATTAAATATTAAAAACTTCCCTAAATAGGGCTGCCTTCAGATGTCTTAATTTCCGACATTAAGGCCATCACACAAGAACATAAGAAGAGACCAGCATCCTGTTCTCACAGTGCCCAACCAGATGCCTGTGGGAAACCAGCAAACAGCATTTGACCTCAAGAACACTCTGCCCTTCTGCGAATTCCAGCAACTGGTGTTCAGAAGCAGGGCATGACCTTTGATAGCTTTCTCCTCCATCAATTTGTGTAATCCTCTTTCAAAACCATCCAGGTTGGTGACCACCACAATCCAGCCTGGATAGCTCAGTTGGTTAGAGCAGGGTGCTGATGACACCAAGGCTGCAGGTGCAAACCTTGTAAGGGACAGCTGCAGATTCCTGCATTGCAAGGGGTTGGACTAAATGGTCCGCGGGTTCCTTCCAACTCTACAATTGTATGAGTTCCTTAGTTAAACTATGTGCTGTGTAAATAAGTACTGTAGTTTTCCGTGTATAAGACGACGTTTTTTATTCTAAAAGAATGTTAAAATTTGGGGGTTGTCTTATACACGGATAGTGCAGAGGGTGGACGGGCGATTGGTTGTAGCCGCAAGCCAGAGATTGTCAGCAGCGATCTGGCATGTGATTGGCGGCTGCAACAAGGGCTGCTGTTGATTGGCTTCTGCTGCGGCAACTTTGCAGGCGACTGGTGTCTGGTGAGCGGTTTTCGGCAATCCCCCCCCCAGCCCCAAGACTCTGGGCAAACTCCCCCCATTTCCTTAATTTGGAGTCCCCAAAAACAGGGGTCGTCTTATACATGGGGGCATGTTATAAACGGGAAAATACAGGGTTTTTTTAATCTGTCCTGAGTCTTCCAACATTTGTTATGGCTATAAGTTGCCTCCAATATCAGAGATGGTAGCTCTCTGAATAGGAACAGGAAAGTGCTATCCCACTCATGTCCTGCTGGACTCAATAGGTCTTTGGTCTGATTCAAGGATGATATGTTTTTACACCCATTTGTTGAAGTTTCTTGCCCTGCTGAAGGTGCAAACTCAGTTTTAGCTTAACATTTCAATTTTTACAGAAAAGTAGTCTGCCTCTTCAGCAGGAAAACTTCCATGTTATTCACCTCTCTGCTTCGTGATCTCAGGCAAAACCAGAAAGACAAAGGGGATGTGGTAGCTCTCTGGACTAAAGAACCACTATACTTCTCCACATGGGGCTGTCTCCACATGAAATACCTGATATTGTGCTTTCTGGCCAAGAGAAACTTTCTGGGTAGTTGGATTGTACTTGAAAAGGTCAGGAGAAAGTGATTTTGCTTCTAAAACAGAAGGGCTTTTTGTTTTGCTATTCTAGGTTCTCTCTTTTGGTGCTACGGAAAACATCTACAGAATTGTTAAAACAGCCTTTGCTAACCTGGTGCCCTCCACCAGGTGACAACTCTCATTATAGGCTGGCTATGGCTGATGGAGGGTGGCGCTGTGGGTTGGCGGTTCGAATCCCTGCGATGGGGTGAGCTCCTGTTGTTCAGTCCCTGCTCCTGCCAACCTAGCAGTTTGAAAGCACGTCAAAGTGCAGATGTTTTCCATAGCACCAAAAGAGAGAACCTAGAATAGCAAAGCGAAAAGCCCTCCTGTTTTAGAAGCAAAATAGGTACCGCTCCAGCGGGAAGGTAAATGGCGTTTCCGTGCGCTGCTCTGTTCGCCAGAAGCGGCTTAGTCATGCTGGCCACATGACACCGGCTGTACACCGGCTCCCTCGGCCAATAAAGCGAAGATGAGCGCCGCAACCCCAGAGTCGGCCACGACTGGACCTAATGGTCAGGGGTCCCTTTACTTTATGGCTGGTGGAACTTGCTGTCCAAAGTATATGGAGGACACCAGGCTGGTGAAGGGCTGCATTAAAACAAGAGCCTAGCAGAGTTTTGAGATGAGATTCTGTCAGTGTTTGAAAAAGAAAAGGTTCTGACCTCCTTTGCCTGGTCCTCGGACCCAAGTTGGCCCAAAGAGTCCTTGAGAAAGAGTACTTTGCAGAATGCTGCTTTTTTTCTAAAAAAAAAGTCTTCTCCAACCATGACCGACAGCTTTCTATATATCAAACACAATCAGCTACCAACCAACCAACCAACCCACACCACATACAATCAATGACCACTCTATATATACAGGCATATGTAGGTGAAATATTGCATGAGTCATGCAAGGCTTTGCCAATTCATTGTAGGCAGCTGACTCATGCTGACTCAGTTCCTTTCGTATTAAAGAAACAGCGGCTAATTTTAAGCCGCAACAGATTCTGCTCACCTGAGTGCATGGTTCAGGAGGTTGGGTTGGAGCAGGTGGAGGAGGAGGAGGAAAACCAAAGGCTAGTTCTGGAGGAGGTGGCGGCAAATCATCCTCAACCTGGGTAACGGCAATATTTGGGAAACTTGACTGGGCATAAGTGGTGACAGAAGCATTTGCTGGAGCCTGAGTCTTGGCAGCACGTTGGAAATGAGAGGCGTCTTTCTGTTCTTGGAATGTGGCTTTCTCCACTTCACTTATGTCTGCTACAAGATCAGACATTAAAGCATCCAAATCGGTATCTTCCAATGCGTTTAAGGATTCTGTTAAGGAGGGGGAAATACAAGATATCTCAGGCATCATTTCAGTACTGATCTTGTGCAACTTGCTCCGCTAGTGTGAGTAGATGCTGTTCCACAGATTATAATAAGGATGGCTTCTAGCCAAGGAGGTGACAGAGGCAAATTTTTAAAAGAGCACCTGGGAATACTGTACTCGAGGAATTTACATCTGAGTATTAAAAGCCAGGCTAAGATTTTCATAGAGAAATGAAATATAATAACCCGAGTACCATAGTCAAAAGCAAATTATAGCTCTGGTAAAATTTACAGGATCGCTTTTTTGAAAGAAAGAGAATATTTAACCTTTCATTGTTTCAAGAGTTATACCAAAGTCATTTTACACATTCAAAACTAATGAATTGTTTCAGAAAAGTGTCCATTTAGCTTTTTGCTAAATAGTGCTTGCCCCCTCCCCTGACAAACAGATCATAGTAATACAAAATACAAATACTCACCATTTAAATCTTTAAAACCCACTGCAAAACTAAATTCCTCATTGGCTGCTTTGCTGGGTGGAGGTGGGAGTGTTTCTACTCCCAAACTCTGATGAAGAAAGGGGGGAAATATCACTGTCAATGGCAACAGTCATGGTAGAAAAGTTATTGAAGGTATCCTAAGACCAGAAACTTATTTACTGGGCAGGTTATTCTCTATAGAAAGAGGTTTGCTTTGTGACTGGAAGTGTAGTCTTAACATCCCCTTCTCCAGAATAACTTACCCCACCTTTGATATCAAACACATTTGAATGCTGCTTCATATGTCATGGGGAAATGAGTTTTGAGTTGTTTATTTATCATGTATTCAGTGTGAACACCATAAGTGGAACAGGAAACTTTTGACTATAAGCCATTCTCCCCCTCCCCGCTTCCACAACTGTGTTCAACCATCCCCCCAATTCCCCAAGTCACTAACAAAACACAAACAAGTGAAATGTCATGCATTTCACATACTATCTAGTTTTTCTTAAGGCAAAAAAATAAAAATGGAAGATCCATGATTGGACCTCCTGATGTTTATATATCTTTTTAAAAGAAACAGCTTAGGTTGCCAGGGCACTTGCAGGGTGTAAAAATCCTTTCCCCTGTGCTGTTTCCCTGATTTAAACCACCTTCCACAAAAGAGCTGTTTGTTTCCCCAGCAAGATAAATAGCAGCTTAGAGGGCAGGTAGGGAGACAAAACTGGGGAAACAGTGATGGTGGCCACTATCACAAAGCAGACTCAGTGTCAATATCTACATAGAAAAGGTTATTTATTAGTTTTCAAGCTATTCTATTTTCCCATTTACACCTAATCCATTATTAAGAAGCCAGAAACTTAATACAGTGGTACCTCTGGTTACGTACTTAATTCGTTCCGGAGGTCCATTCTTAACCTGAAACTGTTCTTAACCTGAAGCACCACTTTAGCTAATGGGCCTTCTGCTGCCGCCGCGCCACACGATTTCTGTTCTCACCCTGAAGCAAAGTTCTTAACCCAAGGTACTATTTCTGGGTTAGTGGAGTCTGTAACCTGAAGCGTATGTAACCCGAGGTACCACTGTAGTGAATTGGGGTTACTGTTCTGATAGCCAACACTCTGCCGTTAAATCATAATGTTACAAGTCCGTGGGGTGCGTGGACTCCCCTTCTAATTCTGGGGTGCTAGATATTTATTGTTGCATGTTAAAATACAAGTCAGGATGAGTCATTAGCTGGGAAAATGGAAGTGGCTCAGTGCCGCCGCCCCCAAAGGTCAGTTAGTTCGAAAGACGAAAGGAAAGTTTAGGATGGAGTTTTTGCAGTGATGTTGTAGTCTGGAAAAGATCAGCAAGCTGGAGAGGGGGGTCAGAGCTACATTTTGGAGCATGTTTGATTTTCTCTCTTGAATCCAGGAGTGTGCCTATGGGAGAATCAAGGCCCTTTTGGAGTGGAAATGCTCTGAACCCCTCCATGGCAGGCTCAGGTTATATACCGTATATCTGTGTCCATAAACCCTATGCCATAAAGACACCACAGTCTCCCCTGTGCCTCATTTCCAAAGGAAACATGAACCTTGGGTAGGAGCCTGGAGCCCTGGAATTTTGCACTGCTGTGGAGGTCGGGGTGATACGAACAATATTTTATTTTATTTTATTGGTTTGCAAGCTCCTTCCAGCAAAATTCCTAATCTACAGAGTAAAATACAACTGACGGAACCTATCTGAACACCATAAAAAAAATAAATCAGAAATAAAGCTTTATGCCGAGGGACTCGTATATAAAAACCGAAGTGGCAGGTTAAGTGCTTCAAGTTACACTTTCAAAATTTATGTAATTTGTGCCATAGATTCTTATTTTGCTACGTTGCCAGCATTCCGCTGAAGTCTAAAGGCCAACTTGACATTACAAAGGATATATGCGACCCATTTCCCAGAGGTTTCTTTTTCTAAAGGAAAAGCAGCCGCAGGACTCAGCAATCAGAAGCAGAAGAGGTGGGCCAGGGAGGGAATTAAACTCCCCTACAGGAAGGAAAGTAGCTTGGCGGAGGGGCAGGAGAAGGGTTTGACAGACAAATGGCTGAAAATGAAAGACACAAGGTCCCCTGTATACAGGGTTTCCCCACCCCCCACAAGAGGGAAAGCAGAATTTAGTGAGCAAATATGTGCTCCAACGACATAGTAACCTGTTTCTGCTACAACCCCCCATTCCCACATAATGCATGCAGGGATAGTTATACAGTCGTACCTTTGAAGTCAAACAGAATCCGTTCTAGAAGTCCAATCAACTTTCAAGATGTTCAAAAACCAAAGCATGGCTTCTGCTTGGCTTCAGGAAGCTCCTGCAGCCAATTGTAAGCCGTGGAAGCCCCGCCGGACATTCGGCTTCCAAAAATAGTTCACAAACCGGAACAGTAACTTCCGGGTTTGCGAAGTTCAGGAGCCAAAACATTCGGGAACTAAGCTGTTTGACTTACAAGGTATGACTGTAGTGTCCTTTCTTTTTAAAAAATGTGGATAGGTGTGCTGGTCTAGCACAAAAGGCATTGTGATGTTTTGCTTCAGCTGCAAAAAGCCTCTCGTACTGGTTATTTCATGGGCAACATGGGGGCAGCAGATGAGGAATCAATCTCGGTATGTTGAAATAATTATATTTAGTAAGAAAGAACAATGATGAATGGAGACAGGAAGAAGGATTCTTTATTCCTTCTTTTTTACTTTCTTTTACCAGTCCTCCAAATCAGCTAAGAAAGCATAGCTTACCTGTGTCAGCAAATCCATTTCCCCCAATAAATCGCTGAACATCTGATCTATATCTTCACATGTTTCCTCCATCTGAAAAACAAAAATCAGGCAAGGGTGAGAGCAGTGAGCCTCAGTGCCTACCAAAAACGTCACAAACTTTTCTGCAACATAAAAGGGATGCCCTCAAGTTTCATTCTTTTACTACTAATTGTAGCTTTTCTCCTATTATTATTACTGAAATAAACCATTTCATTTTCAAAGCATTTTGATAAGACTAGTTGTTCTCAGATATAGCCCCCCTCTAAGGCTGGTCACTGATCACCTCTACTGCTCTTGCAGTGTCATTTTCCTACTCCAAAGAAATAATATCCCACTTACTCAGCAGTCATCCTGATTTGTTCACACAAAGCTTACATCAAACCTAGATTTTATTTAGTCTTTATTGAACATTTGTTCTGATTTGGTTATAGAAAGGTTATAAATCAATGAGCGCTCATCCTAATTAGCATGTGGGGTGTTTATATGTCTTCCTTTAAATCATTCATTCATTCCACGCCTTTCAGTGTATTTCTTAGTCACTTTCCTAACAGCAAAAAGCCCATTTATTTTTTTAAGTGGATTTGTTGCACGAAGGCAACAGATCACTTGTTGTTGTTTGTTGTTTAGTCGTTTAGTCGTGTCCCACTTTTCGTGACCCTATGGACCAGAGCATGCCAGGCACTCCTGTCTTCCACTGCCTCCCACAGTTTGGTCAGACTCATGTTTGTAGCTTCGAGAACACTGTCCAACAGATCACTTAAGTCCATTCTAATTGCACAAATCTAAATTTCCCAGTACACTTGAATCCCTCACATAAAATGCTGACAGTCTGAAGGCACCCCAGCGTCAGAGTTCAGTAAAGCATGACCTAGAGCAGTGTTTCCCAACCTTTTTTGGGCAAAGGCACACTTGTTTCATGAAAAAAATCTCAAGGCACACCACCATTACAGCCCCGTGACGTCAGCGCGCAGCGTCACGCCGGGAGGGACGCACGAAAGTGTAAGTTTCAATTTTTTCCCCTCCCCCTTGCCTTCCTTCTGTGCCAACCGCCAAAAAGCCAAGAAAAAAGCCAAGACTTTAGGGCAGCAGGTCGACACGGAAGAAGCTCCTACCTAAGGACAGGTGCGACAGCCGTGTCCTCTTCTGCCACACTTGGCAGCCCTGCCTCACGGTCGTGACTCCCACCCTGATTTCTCCCCGCAGGTCGAGCGGCACAGGCAGCCCAATGTGTCCAGCCCAGACACAAGCCCCGCTTCCCCACTCTAGATCCTGAATGCGACCAAGTGCTCTGGACTCCCGAGCAGGGTGGGAAAGAGGACGCGCATCTGGTAGCCTCCGGGCTCCTCGCCTGCTCGAGGGATGGCATTGCAGGCAAGCTGTCGGCCGTCGCCATCGCCGCCCCCTCATGCGAGTGGACCTGCCCGGAGTGGTGGGCCGGGGGAGGCTCGCTCTCTGTGGGGATGTGGCCCGCACGCGTGGCCCCACTTCCTCCTGCCCAGGGCTGAGCTCCTTACCCGCGATCTCGGTCTCGCGCACGCGGATCCCACTTATTCTGAAGCTCGCACCACTAGCCCGGGCTCTCACACCGTGCCAGGGCGAGGCGGCGCGGCCCACTGACGTCATCGCGGCTCGCCGCCGCCCTCGACTTCCCTGTTCCCTCCCCTCCCTCGGGTCGCCGTGGTTACCGAGGACTGCAAGCTGCTCGGGCGAGCGTGGGGCATTAAGTGGGAGAAGGAAAATTAAAATTAAAACTCGCCTGAAGGCCGCATCTCAGGATACAGTGGTGCCTCGCAAGACGAAATTAATTCGTTCCGCAAGTCTCTTCGTCTTGCGAGTTTTTCGTCTTGCGATGCACAGTTTCCCATAGGAATGCATTGAAAATCAATTAATGCGTTCCTAGGGAAACCGCCTTCAGACCAGGTCCGGGGACAGTCTGTCCCCCGACCTCTTCTGAAGGCTGGGGGGGGGGGACAAGGGCTTTTCTTCCCACCCCCAGCATTTTAAAAAACCCCGGGACAGCGGAGGACTTCTCCGCTGTCCGGGGCAATCTTAAAATGCTGGCGGGCGGCATTTTAAAATCGCCCCGGGACAGCGGAGGACTTCTCCGCTGTCCGGGGCGATTTAAAAGCCCCTGGGAAGGCAGTCAGGGGGGACAAAGATTTTCGCCCCCCGCCCGCCTTCAGAAGAGGTCCTGGACCTCTTCTGAAGGTGGGCGGGGGCGAAAGTCTTTGCTCCCCCCTGCCTGCCTTCCCGGGAGAGCGGAGAAAGGCAGCGCATTTCTCCGCTGTCCCGGATGGCTTTTGAAGGTCCTTGACCTCTTCTGAAGGCGGGCGGGGGCAAAAGTCTTTGCTCCCCCCTGCCTGCCTTCCCGGGAGAGCGGAGAAAGGCAGCGCGTTTCTCCACTGTCCCGGACGGCTTTTGAAGGCAGGCTTTTGAAAGCCGTCCGGGACAGCGGAGAAACGCAGCGCGCCGTTGCCGCTGCCCCCCGACTTGGCTGGAAGGCTGGCGGGGGGAGAAGCCTGCTCCTCCCCATTGCCAGCCCCGCAAACTCGGGGGACAGCGGGAGAGGCACAGCGCGCCCTTGCCGCTGCCCCCCGACTTGGCTGGAAGGCTGGCGGGGGGAGAAGCCTGCTCCTCCCCATCGCCAGCCCCGCAAACTCGGGGGACAGCGGGAGAGGCGCAGTGTGCCATTGCCGCTCCCCCCCGACTTGGCTGGAAGGCTGGCGGGGGGAGAAGCCTGCTCCTCCCCATCGCCAGCCCTGCAAACTCGGGGACAGCGGGAGAGGCGCAGCGCGCCATCCCGCTGTCTCCCGACATGGTTTGGAGGCTGGCGGAGGGCTTCCTCCTCCCCCAGCCCCGCAAGCTCCCAGAGCGATGCCAAAGCTGCGCGCAGCTTCGGCATGGCTCTGGGTCCCGTTCTGGGGGAGGGGGAAGCTCGGGCTTCCCCCGCCCCAGCCCCACGCCTGGCGGTGGGGGAATAATTTTTTTTCCCCTTTATTCCCCCCCCCCCCCGCCAATTTTTCCCGCGGCACACCAGGCAACGTCTGGCGGCACACTAGTGTGCCGCGGAACACCGGTTGGGAAACACTGACCTAGAGTAATTTCAGCCCTCTCCTTTAGATCCAACATGACTTCACTGGCCATTGGAGAAGTTTGATTCATTGGAGACCACCACCCAAACAGTGTATGGAGAAATTTCCACAGAATATTCAATTTTTTCAATTCACCTCTGATGCTTACACTATTCTGTCAAAGAAATAAAAGTCAGCTTGCCGCCTGCTTTGTGGAGCGTACCCTTTCCAGCCAGCATGCCTTCTCAAAACAGTAACAAATGAGCAAAATTATCTCCTAGCAGGCAAGGAATACAGCAAAGGCAAGGAATACTAAAGCACCGAAGAAAGCACACACCAGACACATGATTGTGACGGGGAAGATTGCATAAGTCATAACCTTGTTACTGTTACATGTGAGAATGACTCAATATACTGCCGGGTGGAAACTCAGTAGCAGGCAAATGGCTGAACCCATTCCTGATTCCCCTCCCCCAATAAAATTTAGCCAATTCCAAACTAATTCCCATTTCTCTTAGGGCTATCACTCAAAGAAATCTTAGCCATACACACACAAACACACATACACAGTGGTACCTCGGGTTAAGTACTTGCTTCGTTCCGGAGGTCCGTTCTTAACCTGAAACTTTTCTTAACTTGAGGCACCACTTTAGCTAATGGGGCCTCCCTCTGCTGCCGTGCCACTGGAGCATGATTTCTGTTCTCATCCTGAAGCAAAATTCTTAACCTGAAGCACTATTTCTGGGTTAGCGGAGTCTGTAACCTGAAGTGTATGTAACCCGAGGTACCACTGTGTGTGTGTGTGTGTGTGTGTGTATTTCTGTAGCAAAAAAGCACTCTCACTTTCTTCGTAAATAAGGTGCAAAAGTGGCCTGGTTCACACTTTACACAAGGTCAGACTGTGAACAAGCAAATGCACAATTCTGGGGACAGAATTGCAGGTGTTTTGCTCCTGACTCATTCCAGCACCTACCATGCCGCTTTGTAATCTAGCGGCAGTTACAGACTTGGCTTCCTGGTGTATCTGGCCATGCATGATACATGTGATCAAATGACAGTCAACTCTCATTATTTCACACCCCCCCTCCCCACTGAAGACTTTGTAAAATGAAAAGAAAAAGAGGAAGTTAATGTCGGCATGCAAAATTCATAGCAAATACAGTCAAACCTTGGCTCCCGAAGGCTGAAAACCTGGAAGTAAATGCTCCAGTTTAATGTTTTTTCAGAAGCCGAACGTCTGATGCTGCTTCTGCTGAGTGCAGGAAGCTCTTGCAACCAATCGGAAGCCATGATTCAGTTGTCCAAAGTTTTGGAAGCTGAACGGGCTTCTGGAACGGATTACGTTTGACACCCGAGGTTTGACTGTAGTTTTATTACCCGTTCTTATTCATCATTAACCACACACACATTTCAGAAGTGTGGCTGAGTTGGTTTATTTAAAAAGAATTCAAAAAGTATCCAGGAAAACAAGTTCAGGCTTGAATCCCAAAGAAGTCCCTTTTGAAATCAAATGGACTTCAAAATAAACATGGATCAGGACGGGGCTCAGAATAATTCCATGCTGCAAGGAAAAAACACCCCGACTTGATGAATGGTAGCTATTTATTCAACACTCTGCAATTGAGGATTCTAATTAGCTTCTCCTAGCCAACAGCTTTTTAACGCATTGCCAATTGTGAAGAAAAATTAACCAGTCTCTGATTAATAGGGAGCAGAATCACCCCGTTCTCTCCTGGATAGAAACAACCTCAGCCATGAGTTTATGACTATTGCCCCTGTAACAAGAATGTTTTTGCAGCACAGCCCCCACATGCCCCCACATGCCTCCGATTATCATAAATGAGCAGTAGGCGAAGGAACAGGCCAATGATCTGCGCTGATACGGTAATTGGTAGGGAGAGAAAGAGCCACCAAGGCCCCGCTAGGCAGAGCTGACTAATGTGCAGTTCAAGCTGTTTAATATTTATGAGATAAATATGA